TTTTCAGTATTAAGACAAAGCATACATGGTAATGCACATTTTGCTTCCTGCTGAGGCTTGTCAGAGTAATTATTTTGCCCTGAAAGGTGCAGGGCAAGAGGTGCAGCTTCTCAGCAGTGTGACTCTGGCTTAGAAGAACTGTATAATAACACAGTCCGTTTCCAGCAGCAAAGGAGGAGGGTTGGATCTGAACTTCTAGAGGCCCTCTATTACAATAAGACACCAAATCTTGGCTTTAGGAAGGCATATTGGCCAGCAAATACACACACAACTCTACCGCAGGTACTATTTAAACAGCTGTGTTTTGTCTTCTTTTAAAAAGGCAGTAACCTAGATGGACATCCTGTGGACATATCAGACATTTTTAAGGCCTAAAGAGCCACACTACAATAGATGCCCTTCAGGTTCTCTATGTCCTTGTCTATTGATTTAGGTATAATATTTGATTCGGCTCCATGTAATAAAAAACACCCTGTCAGAATTCTTCCTGTAGGAGTTGGGCAGACATATTTTTCTAGAAACACTTTCTATGCTTTCTCTAGGCAATAGGCCATATTTTACCAGCTATGGCAGTGGTCATAGACATCAGTCTAGCCACCTCCCACCTGTCTAATGCCCTCCTGCTAGCGCCCACCTCTACTACAGGGACACTTTATAGCGTCCCCAATGCTCCCTATTAAAACTAGTTTCACAGTCAGTCTTGAGTAAAAAACCAGAAAATAAATTACCTTAAAAAATGAAAGAGTCCTAAGTGTAACCAAAAAAGGCATCACAAATGTCCATGTATAATACTTTGAATTAATGTACGACTAGCTTTTTTTTAATTGCGGTATTCAACTGCTATAGATAATAAATAATTAATTAATAGTAGTCAGCAGTCATTAAAACATCTCTGCACTAGATATGATCCCCATCCATTAGTCAGATGAGATGGATAAAAGAAATATTAACAACTTTTTTGTGAAACAGAAACATGGTATTCATCAGAGACATTATGTTGACACTGAAATCACAAACCCATAACCGAAGGCCTGATCCTGCCAACAGACTAGTTTGGGTGGAAATTCTGGTCATTCTTACTAGTGAAAAAAATCTTAATTATGGTTTAAGTAAATATTTGGAAAAATGTAGGAAATACAAAATTGACCTCCAGTTAGCAGAAAAATTCCCACTATTATCCCTAAAGACAGGTTTTAACGCACCATATAGAAGTGGATTTGAATGCACTGAGATAACAGCTCCATAAATGTCAATCGCCTTATGAAGTAGAAAGAAAGAGTTTGAGCTTTCTCTGCTTAGTTTGCTTGTGCACAGAGGTCTTTTATAATATAAATTTAAATACACAATCTGTTTTTTAATGTTTTCCATCAACTCTCTTCTCCATATGTTCTCCCACTAGGAATCTAATGAGTTCTACATATGAGGGATGACAAGGGAATATGCCTGAGAAATAATTCCAGCAATTATGGCATATGGAGGCATTGTTTTTGAGTCACTTTTGCCATGAACATTAGGCAGAGCATCTGGGACCAAATTATGTCTACCTGCCCATGGACATTAATAAAATCATCATCTTCCATTTGTAAATTCTGCTGAAGTAATCTGACATAAAGAAAGGACCGTTTCATCAACTTTATGATCAGAGAGCATATTGAAACAGAGTCCATTTATAATTAGAAAAAAATGCTTCTCTTTAGAAAGAATAGTTTAAACTGGAAATTAAGATAAAATTATAGAAACACATCATCTCTCTCTCTCTCTTCCCTCCCGTGTTCAGTTCCAGGCCACTAGTCATTAAAAACTTTCCTCATCATTACTGGAATTTTGAAAGAATTTACTGGATTGCAGGACACAAGAAAATGACCAAAGAAAAATAAAAAGAAGAACAAAAAAACGATGCACGAACTCTAAATAAGTAATAGTAAGGATTATATCTCTGTGCCCAAATATGACATGGCATCAGTAATTAATTATAAGGAGGAAACAGACTTAAAAAAACCTACTTTGTATGGAGACATAGTGACTAAAGTATTGTGCAGTTTGTAAGTTCTGATTTAAATACTAAGACATAAGGCTGGAGATTCAAGTACTGTTTCTGTCATGTTTGTGATGACAATAAGGAGGAAAGAGTTCAAGAGATTCAACCAATATCCTCATATGGAGTAAACTTGCAACTCTACACATTTCTCATGAAAAATGTCAAGAAAAATGTCTCAGCAATGTGAATAACAAGTATTTTTATGTGTTGTTTTCCCAGCTGTGCAGTTGAAGCAGTGAAAGCCATAAATCCCAAACTACAGTGTCCCTAAGTTACCCCACTGATTTAGCAGAAAGAAGAATGTCCCTACTGTTATACAGGATCTAACCAAATTTTGCATTTTACAGTTATGAATATAAAAAAGACTTGAAGACCTAATATAGAAGTTTTACTGTTAGGATTACATATAAGCAATAATATTTCTATTACGCAAACTATTTATTTAATTTAGTTGGGAAATAAACTGGTTTTCAGAACTGAAAGTCAGACTTATTTCAAGTCTTTCAGTCATGGCTAATACTGACGTGATTAGTGATATTTAGTCAAGAGAATCTATTATCAAGGAATGACTGGATTTCGCTTCCAGTTGTTACACAGATCAACCTTTATGCTTGCAAGGAAAGAGTGAAAATAGAGAATAGGTTCTTTAACCATTAACCTGAATAGGGATATGTGAACTTTAATGAATTTGCTCAATCAGAATTTTCTGAACAAAATGCTAAACATTCATCTGCATCTGACTGCCTTATACAACCACACTTAAATCACCAAGGTGCCTTGCTATGTCTGTCATCTGGCTTTGGAGAAAATCCCAGAGACACAAGACAGACCTTTCCTACAACCCAGATAGCGGGTTTAAGGTCCTACTGTCACCCCCACAACCACAGGTTCAGGGTGCTGGCTGTATCCCTGTGCTCACATGCTGGATCGACTTCCTCAGACCCTAGATCTCTGGTGATGAAACCATACTATAAACATTACTTTTTCAGGATTGTCTACCATGTCTTGTTGCTACTTAAAATATCTAAATGATAATTTTTCAGGATTCACATTTTGTGAAGGAAAAAAATTTATTCAAACTGACCTGAAAAGACAGTACACCACCAGAGTTTCCCATAGGTATCAGTTCCTTTCAGAAAGGACATTTCAAAATCCCTTGAAATGTTCTCTGCTCTACTGAGGAAATATAAAGTTAATATAACCTTTGAGATTCTTATTCGCTAAAATATTATTTTGTTCCATGACTAAACAGATCTCCAATGCACACATCTATACAGGGAGCTCTATTTTATATTACAATTTAATTCACTTGCTATGAATAGTCACAACATTAGTCTACTGCAGAGAATCTATTCAGTATATTTGAAAATCCATTTATTTTCATTTATTGGTATGCATGTGCTACACTTGTATATAATACAGTATTTTCAGCGCTGTTTAAGAACAAGTAAACAAAGAAAACAAGTATTGAGAAGCGTGATATAGATTTTCAACCAAATAGAGATCATATTCAGATTTTACAAAACAGCACATTTACACTATGCACTGTCCCAGACAACCTCTTTAAGATGCTACCTTCCATCAGAACCTCTTAGCACAAATCCATGTAATACATCCTAAAATACTGAGAGACCTATTTTTTGCTACAAACGGTTTATTCTAATTGAATTATAATCAGAAAATAAGATCTTTTCCTGTCTATATATTTTTTTTATTATTTCCCATGAAATAATGATAGAATATACTTGTCAATTTTATTCCCAACCACCATTTATTTTATGTAAGCTCTCCTGTGCAATAATACAGCAGAGGTAATGAAATGGTTTTGGAACAGCAGGGGCTACAGTGACAAGCAGAGCACGCCAGGGTGTTCATCCATCATAGAACTTAATATATAACTAAACTAGTCATGACAATGGCTTGTAATGATTAAACCATTTCCTTCTATTCCTTTTTTTTTCTTTTTTTTCTTTTCAGTTTTTTGTTTGCTGTGTTTGGTAACCACATAGGACTTAAACAAGCTTACCTCTGTGTATTTTTTGGCTGCCATTAACTATGCGTGGCTTTCATTTGAATTCACCAAAGCATAAAGTCAGAACTCCCTCTAGTCAGTATGTTTATGCAGTGTCACTAAAAGGAATTGCCAAATTTCTTTTGTATCAACATTACACATGGTACAATATACATTAAATGGAGTATAAAGTTATACATTCTGTAATAACTTAGGAAAAAGCTCAAAGATGCTTAAGGCCTTTAAATATTGAGGATTTTTTTCATGTAGCAACACAAAGTTAAGTCACAAAGTTAGAAACAAAAAAAACAGATCTGAATAGGATGACTGTAAGCAAGCAAAAAACCCATGAAGTGCAAAACTGGAAGAGCACTAGGACTTCTTTCCTTTATGGCAAACAGACCGAGCAGACATCTACATAAGCATCTATTAGTACCTAGGTTCAAGCAAGAGATTTTATTTTTTAATAAAAGACAAAAATTCTGAATGATTACCCTCCAATATCATAATTGCAATATTCAATTACATTCCTGTCTACCTTTGTAAAAAAGGGATGAAATAGCGTAATTGACTGCTTACCATCAATTTAAATGAATTAAAGGTTAGGAAAGTAAAGTACATATTGGAATCAACCATTTCCTTCAAACTAAATGGAAATGTATATATTAAAGATATAAAATGCTTTATTATGGAAGTGGTAATTGAGTTTTGACCACTACTTTCTTTAACTGTGAAGCTGCAGTAGTTGGTTAGCCTTAGGGAAACATGTCAACCTGACTATACATTCTAATATGACTGATGTATTCAGATAAATATTACTTATCAACAATAGTTATTAACAATGGATATATAATTCCATTCCTATAACAAAGCAACTTCAAGATGTTGAAATATGTACCTTTGATAGCTGCAAGATTAGAACACAAATAAAAATGTCTAAAACTGCACCATGCCAGAGGACAATTTCTGCAACAGAAATTTAATTAAAGCAGTGTGCAGTCCCACCAGCAATCTGAACAGTGGACAAAAGATCATTTTAGAATGAAGGATCCAATACATTTCAGAGGTTGACTTCTTCAAGATGAAAAACCACTGATCTGCAACGGAGAGCCCAAAAGTTTGCTGGTTTTCTGCACCTTTAGAATATTAGCTTGTGATTACAGCTGCAAATTCCTCAGCAAGTGCAATTTTACAAGTGTACACAGTTCAATCCGTTGAAATATTTGTGACACATAAGTTCAAAATAACTTTCCAGTCGTTTTGATCTCAAGGCTGTTGCTGATTACAAGCCAGGTTCTCATTGAAACAATTGATTCTGAAGGATACACCTAAGTAGTATAAAATTTCACTTCACGGATTGACTGGAGGAATGAAATTCCTTTGTGTTTTATTTAATGTTATCAGTCTTGAGACTGGCTTGATTTGTCTTTAGCTATCGGGTAACCTGTAAAGAAAAAGAAAATCAGAAAATCAAAACTGGGCATAGTGAATCTACTTCCAAAACACTGGAAACTGAGACTGACGTGTAAGATCTCTGTTCAGCAAAGCACTTTCGATTGTTTTTCAATAAGGGAATAAACCCAGATGGTATTAGATGGCATTGCTCCCCAGTTTAAACTGTGTTTAATTGCTTTGTGGGAATAGGATTTGACAAGGAGAAATTGAAATGTGACTATGCCTAAAAAATATAATAAAATAATGAATTGCCAACCCACAAATTTCTGATTTCTGTTATTCTTTTTTTTGTTGTTAAAAATTCTGTATGGTAACAGATATATTTTTTAAATCTTAGCCATTGAGTATACAGTGATTCATACTGGTGCTGTATTATTCCATTCTTTGTAAGCATCTTTGCAAAACAATCATAACATCATAGAATCATTTAGCTTGGAAAAGGCAATAATCACTTAGTGGAGAAACAGGACAAAACTCATACATAAGTTAGCAAGAGACAGAGATCCTGTTATTCATAAAGTAAAAAAATTACCAAGGATTTAATTTAGAGTGGTTTCACCCAGCCTAGCATGAAACAAGAGGGAAACAGAAGGACCACTGAGAAAGAGTGGAGGACAAAGCATTTCACAATAATTGGACTTTTCCTCTAAGTGATTTGGATTTTAAATTTTACAAGAAAAATTCTGTCACATCAAAGAAACATAACTTAGAGGAATATTTCTGCTGTGTCAGTGGATACAATTAATCATCATGTAACCTTTTAATATCAAACTGTGTCAGGGGGAAATGTCCCAAGGCTTGAGGAACAACTCATTGGAATGGCCACAACACTTTATGACATCAAGGGGCATATGCTCTTCATTTTGATCACAGAGAGAAGGGTCATGATCCTTAATGATGAAACATTCTTTTGCCCCCAGCAAAAATGTTTGCATACAGTTCTTGTCAGCTCTGCAGAGCATAAACGTAGAACAAACAGAATATTAAACAGACTGTTCAAGGAGCTCATTACTTCAGCTTCCCTTCTCCACAGAATTGTTTTGAGGAACTGCACTTGAGGCAATAATAAAATTGTGCTTTGTGATTTTTATGATACACAAGCTTATTTATTACACTGCTTTTATTTTGCTTTGGTCTCTTGCTGTTAGAAACAGCCTCATGTGGCCCCTTCTAAAGTGGAAGATTGCCTGAAAAAATAATAAAGAATTAATTTAAAAGTCAGGCAACATATTTCTCTGCCCTGCACCAAAGCTCAAAAGGCTGATGCACCATCTTATTGTTATTTAGTTTGCTACTTTATTGTAGCAAACTGAAATTCTACTCATGGAACCAGGTAACACTGAGCTACACAATGAAAAATACACATCTTTTGATACTACCTGCAGTTGGAATTTTATTAGCTTCAGATGTGATACATGTATCTATATCTATTTCTATATCTATATCTGATCTATATTTATCTATGTCTATGTATCTATATAGTAAAGAGCCACCAAGGCAAATAAGACACAGAAGCAAATCATATGAGGAAAGGCTGAGGACACTGGAACTCCTCAACCTGGAGAAGAGAAGGCTCGGGGGGATGTCATCAATATGTGCAAATATCTGAAGAAAGGGTGCCAAGGAAATGGAGCCAGACACTTTTCAAGTGATGTCCAGCAGCAGGACAAGAAAGTAAACACAAGCAAACACAGGACGTACTATCTCAGGAAAAAGTTTTTACTGTGAGGGTGACTGAGTGCTAGCACATATTGCCCAGGGAGAATGTTGCTTCATTCTTGAAGGTATTCAAAAGCTGGTCCTAACTGGCTTTAGATGGCACTGCTTGAGCCAGGGGGTGGCACTTCCAGAGTTGCCTTCCAACCTTAACTATCCTAACCCTAACCCTAATCCTATGTGATGTATAACCCTAATATGTGATGTATCATTCTATTACACCCAGAACTACCACACATGGACTAAGGAGGTAAACTTCAGATGATAAAAATGGAATTTTTGCACATACATGACTGCTCAGTTACATGGCTGTTTGGGAGTGCAAATGTATTTTCAGTCACAAGAAAACTCAGTAAAATCATAATCTACTATCTGCTCCCCACAACTAGCACTACAACCCTGTGGTGAAAATATCCCTATGAAAGCAACATACACTGTCACATAAATTATATAAGTGAAAAAAATAAGAAAAACAAAAGCAGATAGTCTTTCAAATTTCTCTGTATCAGGTCACTCACCTACCCACATATATATATACACATATATGCTTCTGTGTATGATGTCAATACTTCTATGTTCAAGCATAGACTGCACATCAATATTAATGGAAGTTATATATCTACATACTATACATATCACAGAGTGAATAAACTTCTTGATTATTAAAGACAGTTTCATAAAGAAGCTATGAAATTTTAAGTAATATGTAGCGATGGTATTCCCAGAAATGCTTGATTTTGGATAGAGTAAATGCTATTTGAGTAAGCGTCTGGGAAGTAAAGTATTAAGGTATTGTGCCAAAGGCCTTCATAGAAAAAGAGGGACCAATAACAATATGTGTCTGATCTTTAAGATCCTTGGAGAACAGTAACATCCTGAATAGGTGCAAATCAAGTTTTCAGTTAATAATTAATACAGATGGAAAATTAACAATAAAATTTTAAAAGTACATTAAACATTTAGCATCTTAGGTGCTGATTTGAATTAATTTGTTCATTCTTGAAATGCAATTACTTTCTTTATACTAATAAATTTTTTCATAATGTTGTTATATCATAAGTACACCGCATTAGATTCTTTTCATTTTCTTGTCCTAAATATGCAATTAAAGCATAATTACTCTGCAGTTGCAGACTTTTGAATTTAAATTGGTGAGGGGCTGCTGTAAATTGGCTATAATTGTGTGGACTCACTTGTTTTACTTTAACACAACAATATATAATTAAATGCACCTAAAGATTTCCACATTATTCTGCTCACTAAATGTTCAGAAAAAACTCAGTCTTTGGGTAAAACATTTTTTTGCCAGTGTAATGCAGAATGGATCAGACATGAAAAGATCTCATGACATCACATTAAACGAGCTACCAGCCTCAAGAGATTTTTCTAGACAACCTGCATTCCAGTGCTGCTCACAATGGGTAGGAAATATTCTCACTTGTGAAATCCACACAGTGGATGAATACAGCAGATAATATTATTTATTTCGTTAGAATAGATTCTCAGTAAGAACCAAGCCCGATACTTTTACTCAGGACTTTCTTCTGCCTTAGAAGATGAATGAAGAAAAATCAAGACTATATGATGAAAAGAATGGCTGAGAGAATATGCCATGTATAGGGAAGCACTTCTCCTTTAATTCAGGCACCTGAGCATCAAAGTTAGAGAACCACAATTAAGTATAGTAAAAGTCTTCTGTTTCTTCAGAGAAACAAATATATCGCAAATCACTAGCTTATGGAATGGCTTCTATGGACAATATGGAATAGCGTCTATGTTCAAAATTAGGCACATAATTATTATATAATGTTGGAATAAAATACATAACAATATATGGTATATTGAAATTAAGTGTGTCTGGAAAGTTTCATAACACAACCTGTACATTACTATTTTTTGACTGGCAGCTTTTTAAATTTTTTTTGTGTTTATCGTAAACCATACACGAAATCCATATTGAAAACTGACTCAAGTTTGCAAAGTCAAGCACTTGAAAGTTAGCAACTTGTCTTTTTATATGTCTCCTTGCAATTTAATTCTCGCTTTTTTCCATCATGCACAGCAAAGAAGAGACTTTAGTGCATGAGGATAGTTGGAGGGAAGACAGGACTATGTATCAATGCAAATGCAGAAAAGGTAAAATTTTTAAGCCAATATTTCTTGCCTTGACAGATGATTCCACATGGATGGACCCTCTGTTTTAGATTTTTTCCAAAGAAACAGAAAGTACTTAATAGAAGATTTTTCTTTTTAATTAGAACTCTTCCATCAACCATATATGATTGTGTGTGGTCATAAGTTATGTCATCTAAGCATACTCAGGCTTTTTCTTTTCTTTTTTTCTTGTGATACATAAGATGCAGGAAGGAAATTATTTTTTGTGAAAGCAATTAATAGCTCACCCTGAGCTAAGTGGAATTTCATGAGACAAAGTCATCTTGGCACCCCTTCCATTTTTCTCTAAAACATTAAAAGCCTGTGGGAAGCAAAAATGATATGGGGATTTCAAACAAAAACAAGAGGTCTCACAAATTTATTTTGCAACCAACATGACATCAGCTAAATACAGGGAATGACAAAAGCCATAAGGAATGGCTTGAAGAAATGCCTACAATGGATTGTCCTCCAAGTCATGGAAAAAAGATAGAGATCTCATACCAAAACAGCCAAAACAGCCCATGCAGTATGCAGTATATTTCTGTCCAGTTTTTGTCCTTATTGTGGTATTCTTTCTTATACTGTATGCAAAATACCACCAAAAAAAATAATAAAATTATGAACAAAGTGATTCTTTAGCAAACCTTTCCTAAAAACGAATGAACTTGGGAGGGCTATATCAGTCTTTTTTTTCCTATAGCATAAATAATTTTGTTGTAGTAGTAAGAACTTAATATAAATATTAAAGTGTAGAAACAGAAAGGCCCATGTCACTAGAAAAAAACGTCTGCCAGTGCATTTTTTCCACTCATAACCTCCAAGAATGAGGTTGAGGTTGGAAATGAATCTTTTGAACAGATGAAAGCACACTGTTTCCTGGAACTTTAAAATCCATACAGTGTATTTGTCATGCACTATCATTCATACATGGCTTGTGAAAACAAATGGCAGTTTGCATTGCCACTTGTGCATGTTCATTCACTGAAACAGTTCAACTTGTAAACTTGCAAAATGCTTCTGTTCTAGTACTAGTATCTTGTACCAGTGATAATCCAAAATTCTTTCCGAATGTTAACAAAAGGCAGGTTCACAATTTCCTCACGGATTATTAATCCTGTCATTAATGTTCCAATGAACTGGGGAAAGGGGACAAAAAGATGTTAAGGACCTTTCTGGAATAGGGCTCCTATATGAATTGGCCCTTTACAGTAGGTAGGTAAGGACTTCAGTCTTTATTGCTAAATAACTAAGTTTCGGGAGGCAGGAGGAACCATTTCAAAAGCCTGAGAAATGAAGGTGACTCAAGCATATTTCAAGGGAACTGCAAGAGAGAACCATTAATTAGGACACAGTATTTTAGTATTTTAGTATTTTAGTATTTTAGTATATTAATATTGCAGACAGCTGTTTGACATGGGCTAATTACAAAAGGCAGAATTTGAGGCACTTGGTAGCAGTCTGAAAAACAGATATTTAATGATAACTACACAGATTCAATGACCTTCAGAGAAGGTTACGTATTGGAAGACACTTTGTCAAATTATCAAATGTTTCATTCCTGTTTATAAAATTTTGAGTCTACCTAACTTTATTTAAGGACTCAAGAGCTTTAAATTGTTCCCTTACTTTTATTTTAAGCACTGCAGCAGAAAATTATTAATCTAAACATGTTCCCAAGCCTGTTAAGCTACTTAGAACTCTAGATCCTCCTGCTTGTCCTTCAGGAGCTATGACTAACTCATTTATTAATTAAAAAGAGTATTTCCCAGGACATGACTCAAAATGTTCCCAGGTCTTTGATAACCATGAGACTCTAAAACCTTTTAATTCTTTCATATTTTATTGTATAATGACTAATCGGAACTGCAGTTGTGATAGTTCCTGTACTTAGGGCTTCCATTATAGAGAGACAAACATTTTAAAAACTCATTTCATGCAATGTCATTTGAAATATAACACTATACTCCTTTATTTCCCACTGCTCTTAAGGACTTCAGCAGGAAAATTTTGGTGGTAAAGTGGAAGACCTAGACAATCAGTGTTTAAAATTGTAATTGAAACTAAAAGGCTTTGGAAACTTTTCACATGTAAAGTGAGCTTTCCAACTACTTCAAATAGTCTGAAAGGTTAGACTAGAGAAGTAGGTAAAAGAAAAATACCTCAGAGCATGGTATATGTTCCTATAAATGATAAAGGTCCTCGTCTTTAACATAGCTTTAAGGTAGGTGGACAACTTCTAGCCTATCTTAGGAATATAATGGAAATACCCATTTCTTAGTTTTTTCTGAAATTTAAGTAATTCAGTATCAGATACTGAGCTTTCAACTACAGATGCCACACCAGACTGAATGTATTAAGATGGACTTCAATTCCTAGCCTGTTCTCCATAGCATCTCGTTTCCCCATGAGAGAGAGTAACTTGTGCTTACCAACTGGGTCTATCTTTGAAAGTCAGGTGTGTGAAGACATTTTAGGGCTCTAAGAAGCATCTAAGCACCACTCTGAGGCTGCTTAGGAGCACCGTAAGGGTTTCTTCAATCATCCTCCATAAACTCTGCCCAAATGAGCCACAAGTTTTTAAAGTCTGCAGCAAACTAAGCAACTACAGTGACGAGTAACGTACAACAATTCCTGTTAATACTATGTAAACCTGTATTTGTACACACCTGCTGCTTTGTGAATAATAAACCGGGGCTGGAACACATTTTCTGGAGTGGTTTGACTCTTTATTCCTCAACGAACGTTCTGGCCCTTCCTTAGAATCGAACCAAGACTAGGATTCACCACAACTAGTACTCCAACATGGAGCCAGAATATTTTTGGGAATGTGTGGGGAAAAAAAACTGTCATCAGGCACAGCAGAAACCTCTTTTCTCTACTTCTCCATTCGGACTTGAGGAGTTTTACACGTTTGCCTAAGAAACAAACACGTGTCAAGTACTACACTGTTATGAAATTGATTACAGAAAACAAAACTGATATAGTTGGAATCTTTTTAAAACTTACAAGGAAAACACAAAATGACAGGAAAAAACAAATTTCAGAATCAGAGAAGATTCTCTTAGGAAAAGTGCATCGTCTTCAAAATATCCAAACATACCCAAATTCAAGCCAAAAAGCAATAGAAACTGATAGATTACACTCATTTCTGAAAGTATATCAGCAGCATTTCAGTATGACAAAACAGTAATTGAAAAGTTCTTTGAGAATAAGTCCATGCATAGACCTGTGGTACAGAAAGGAGCCATGAAGTCAGAAGACAATTCCTTCAAAATGAAAGATTTGAGTGTGTTCTCCTAATATATGTTTAAAGTAAAAAAAATAAAAAAAATAAAAATTAGAAGGTTAATAACATAATAAAAAAACAGATAATACATTACACATTTCAAAAGACAATATTCAATTCAAGGATAGTTCTTTATTTATATATTTGAGATAGATTTTGGACCTGCCAATAATGATTGCTTCTGAAAAGTGATTCACAGCATCTCAAAAGATCACCAAAATTTCTTTAAGTTTTCTTCTTTTATTTTCTTAACCCTTTTAACTTAAATATCATGCTGCAGATCATTGAAAATATACAATTAAACTCAAAACATCAATAATCTCTTACTTAAATAAAATCTCTACATCTTTGAATACTATGAAACCAATTAATATGGTCCTGTGATCATATTTCCTTGAACTGGATAGTTTACAAAATAAAATTAATTGGTACAACTCACTGGGACAATTATGATAGTGAGTAGCTGATGAAGACATATGAGTTACATCAAGGCTAAATCCAATTCATTTGTCCTTCCTATGTACTCATTATTACTGTCTTCCCAAAGGTTATGCCATTGTATTGAACATAACCTAATTTTCTCAATGTTTCTGTAACTCGGTAGAAAACTGAGTTTATGTTTCATTTACAGACAACAGTTTCATATTAAGTGAAGATTTAAACATAAACCTTATTTTACTTTCTGCAGCAATTCAGACAAGGATATATCCTCTTGAGGTTTTTATAGTGATCAGAAGTCCATGGTGGGACTGCAGCATGGCGGCATAAAAGACTGCAAGGCAATTAATTACATAAATGTAATGTTTTTCTCTTCTACACCACTTATCCCACCTAATCATACCAATTGGGAGATAAAATCAATGTCTTTCCTCTGAACGTGTGAGGAAACTGAAGGTAAATAGTCATGTTACCCTTTCAACTGTCAGGAAACAAGTGGAAATGGAGAGATGGCCACAGAATGTTTATGTCTTTGGCTCTACCTGACTTCACTTACCTATAGAACAGGCTACACTTGTTTTTGATTGGAAAGGAAAACCTGTAACAAGCAGTTTCCTGTGTTTACATTCGAAATATGAAAAAGCAAAACAAATTTTTAAAAACTAAACTCAGCCTTGTTTTAAAATTAGACTGAAGTTTTAAGTTAGGCATAAAGGATTTTCATCTTTTAATATATTTTTCCAGAAAAAGGGTCAGACTGAACTTCCAATTATCCCCACTAAAAAATATCAGGTAGTCTAAGTTAATAAAATTTGAGCTCTTTTTCTTCTTCAAATTTTATGCTGCAGGGTTTTTCCTGGTATTTTGAATGGAGAGTAAAAAGCCATTTGTACAAGTTCAAAATAGAAATGTAAATTATTTCCTTACCTGTAATTTTATCTTCTCTATGAGAGTACCTGCTGTTCTGTTAGTGCAGTACTGATGTGTTTTCTGCCTTTGTCCCAAGCTTCAGAGAATCCTCTGGTGATTTTTCCCCACTTGCTTACCAGCTTCCACTGCTGGCATTTTGAGGAAGTGCACTCACATTTGGCTCCAGGAATACTGCCATAGCTGAGGGAATATAAGACAACTAAAAAACAAGTTAGAAAACAGCAGAACCAATATCCAGGAAGGAAAAAATATTTTAAAACAATGAATCAGTCATCAACTGGAATCCCTTTGATCATTTTCCTCTCTCTTTTCATCCACTTAGAATTTCCACATGAAGAAAAGACTTTTCTGTGCTTGGAGGAATTTTGGCTTAAAAATGGGTAATGTCAGAGTAGTGGGTATTCATTCAGAGATTATAAAATTATTTTCAGGAAATCTAATTTTAACCTTCTCCTGTACAAGTACCCATCATTCCATCACTCCAATACAGATAAGAAAGAGAAGAAAGGTGGCAGATTTGGAGGATTTCAGAAAAATCCCTGAGATCTTTTCTCAAGTCCTAATAGAACTGTAAAAAAGGAAGACCTGAAGGCTTTTCACTCAGAAGCTGTCATAGATGAACAATAAGAAGGATTTCTTATTGCCCAGGGAAACATATAAAGTCTCTTTCTCTAAGAAATAGTCAAGATTCTGGTTTCTGATTCCCGATAGTTGTAGTCATCTCAGTAAAAGATGAAAAGAACAATAAGTACTGTCAGTTTAATAAGTAAATATTTTCTTGCTTGAGCATTATGGAGATATCCAGGTGAAAGTTGCAACACCTTATAAGACCTCTGTACTCAGGGTCATCTGGATATTATTTTTGAACTTCACAGTACACAGAAAAGAAGTATTCTGTCAAAGCTAAAAATGAATGCTAGGCGTTTTAACTCAGAACCTACTGTGGTATTCAATCTAATTTGTCTTTCTTATAGAACCTGTCCAGTTGTCTTCATATATGCATCTTCTAAATAGAATATGATCTAAGACAAAGTAAGTATGAATGAATCAAAGTATCTAATTGCAATTAGACTCTGGAATTCTAAAATCTCAATAAATGAGGGAAAGACCAAAAGGCTCAGAAGAGGTTGCTGCCTTCAAATTTCAGAAATGTAAGTACCAATGATGTGCTTTAAGACTGTGAGAAAGGAAAAGGACTCTGGCAATTTCCTGCATGACCTTCAAAAAAATAATTGGCTTTCAAAGTAATAAGCTTCAAATTTGTCAAGTTGCATTCTAGAAGAATAGAACAATAGATGAACAATAATTATTAGCAACTGGAATTGGAATAATGCCTTGAAGATGAGAAATTTGCATTTTCCAAGATCACTCTGAAAAGGTGACAAGAAATCAGGATAGATAGACAGGTCTCTAATTTCTAGAACAACTAATCTGATTTGGACTGCATTTGCCTGAACTAGAAACAGCATGAGCAGAGATAAAGTCCTTTGGTCTTCCTTTGGCAGGAAGATGTTCCTAAGCCACAAAGCTTCAATTGAGGATGAAGAAACAAGTTCTTCTGGCTGCTGTCAGTAATTTATCTTCTAACATTCTTCAACCTGAAGAGACAAAACTGCTGCTCTATTAAAATTCTTGGATCTATTACTACTTTGTTATTACATGTTGATTAGAGACAATCCATTGTTCTTTGAGAACCCATTGATCTTCAGAAAACAGAGATAAACTTTTATTCAGTCTTGCCAACATAATTTTACAGGTTTCATCATACAAATAAGCCCAGGTGGACTGGATATTTTGTAGCTTCACCCAAAATCTGCACTTCAGAGTTCCATGGCATTTATCACTGCAGATATGGAAAGTGATGGATGATAATCAGGACTGTAAGATCTAAGAAGGGATCATCTGTGTATTCTAATAATGCAGTAGAAGAAAGATCTGAGTCCATTTTATAGAACATGAAAAGTCATTTGGAGTCTTCTCTCTATACATGGAAGTAGTGTCTTGCCTGAAATTGACTTGGTGTTCACCAGGTGGTAGAAGGAGTAAAACTAAGTCATGAAAAAAATTAGTAATTTTGAAATTCTCATGGAAGTTAACTCTATGTTAGTTGTCTTCTTTATTAATTTAGTCATAGACAGCAATCTTTCACTTATTCCTGCCTGAAAATTTTTTTCATTTAGAATTTTCACAAAGGATGGGAGTATCTTTATTATTCTTAGGGAGAAATAGTTAAGATATTTACAACCATACTCAATTTGCTATGCAACAGAATATCTGATTTAAACTGGTTTGAGATTTATTCACTCCTCCAACAGTGACTGTGTAGGCTCAGAATGCTCTGTATGTCTGACTCTCCACTTCATAGTGATTATTATTCATTTCCTTCCCTGTAAGAAGGCAGAAAAGCAAAGCTGCTCCAAGGAGGTGTTTCTGATGTTTTCTATCATCAGTCCTAATGAGTAAGGAAATAACTCAAGAAAATGTTGTTGTTTTGAAGAATTGAAAGCATCACCTCTTGAACAAATGAGGGCTCCCTCATACATTTCTGCAACTAAGCAGAAATGCAGAATCTGTGAAGCCTGTGCCAAATATCCAGGGAAAGAGGAAAGAATTCTGCCTGCAGCTATTTAGGCAGCAGATAACATGAGGTTTCAGAATACCCTGGTCTCTCTGACCGGAAATGCATAATTTCTGACTTGCAGAAATGATCCAAAGAAGCCCCTGCAGGCTGAAAATTAGGGTGAGACAAGGAAGAAGCACTAGTTTTAGAGCATGCCCAGATGACTCACATGATATTGGCATTTGAATATCATCTTGTACGGTAATGTCTGAGATATTAGAAACTGACAAAAAATTTCCAAGAAAATGTAAAAAGACTACTAGATATTCAAAGAGTCCTTCTTGCACAGCTGTGACTAGCAAAGAGACTGGCAGAATGAAGCTGCAAATGGAAGTAGAAACAACTTTGATTTTGATGTCAGGACGTTGGAGAAGTGGAAATTCATGGGGAAGTGAAGACAACCAGTCATTAACAAACAGCCTTAAGAACTTGTTCTTATTTTCCATCACAGAGGCAGAAAATTATTCTTCAGATAGGAGGTCAATACCACAAACATGCCAGCAAAGGACAAGGCAGAAGAATAAAAAATGTAAATCACAAGTTGAATCATTTGGGACAAAGGCAGAAAACACTTGGCTGGACAGATGAATTGGAGGATTTGCATATGGAAGAAAGAAATGGTTGCAAAAAGCATTGTTTAG